TTGAGATCTCGACGGGGACGGGGGTAACTGATCACGCTGAATCCGAATATGCTATTTTTATTGTGCGAGAACGCTTCCTTCAAAATCACTCTCCGGTGATATGGCTTGATCATCAGAGTTATATAAATGCTTATTATTATCATCATCATCATCAGCGATTGTTGTTAGTGCGGCTCTTTGATGAAGAAGAACTTTCTTTTCTCGTCGTGTTGGCAAATATAATAATTTTTCATGCAATTTTTCATATTGTCTTACATTTAATAGAGTTAAAACTTCCATCGCTTGATTTAGTCGGAAGAATCGATGGAAATGTTGTCTAATAAATTTTGGTGGATAACCATTTAATAATAAGATCATTTCTATTCGCAATCGTTCTTTATCAAATGTTTGCACATTTGAAGATAATCGAGCAGCACGTAATAATGCTTCATAGACAATATTAATGTAAATATGTCGAGGATGATCTGATCCAAATGGTAATACGTATGGTTCAGCAGCGGGTTTATGAAACACTGGAGTTATTAATGTACCATTCACATTTTCAGTATGAACATCAAGAAATTCATTCTTAAATCCAATTGAGTAAGTAATTTTGTATATGTTTCTCATCTTTTTTATTCATCCAATGTCATATTTGATATCATAAGCATATCATCCAAGTATCTACTATATAATAGTATTGAACAAAATAGATATTTGACTATTTATATCAGATTACCTGCTATAAAATTTTCCTTGTTCGATTTGTAACTCAATTAATGATTGTTTCCATTCCAACATATAAACATTGACTAATGTCATAGCAAATGTTGATCCAACAATTCCATCATTAATTTGTCGATAATACTTGTTATTACACACAAAATAATTTGTATCTAACACCAAACTAGCCGATCTCAGTATTGTATCAATAGATAAATTAACAATTTACCCTTCATAGAATTTTGAATTAAAAATCGTCCTAATGCTTCAACTGCACCACTTTTCGGTATCATTGTATATAGATCAGTTACATCAAATGTAATAAAATAAGTGGTTGGCAAGAGATGATCATTATCTCGATAACTATTCAATTGTCTTACAAGATCAATTCCATTAATAAATGTCGTCCGTTGAGCAAGACGATCAAATAAAGGACGAAGAAGTTTATCGATCATTTGGACTCAGAAGTACGTTTTTGTCTCAGATCGGCAGAACTATTTATTATGCAGTCAAATTTCCCTAGTTTTGTGACATAAATGAAGAAGAACACGTGATATATGAAAGATGACGAGGTCGATGACAAGAATAAACATTTTCTTTAGAGATGCACATGATTATCTTTGGCTCATATGAGTAACATGTCTCGCACATACTTTTAATAATGAAAATTGTGACAAAACAGCATTGCATGCTTTTTTTTCCAAATAATTATTTCAGAATAGCAATCGATAGATATCTATAGTGTACCATCACAATACCTCGATGCTTTGCAATTGGATAAGCAAACTAGTTCAGGCCGAAATCAAATATATCATTGATACATATGTAAACAAATGAATTTCCTAACCAAATCCAATAGCTGATGTCTACTTTCTAAGTCTATGTGTTTATCTTTACAAAATGAATCTCTAGGCAATCATTTGTGATCGATTTATTTAAATTTCTTTAAGATAGGAATTTACCGTCACTGTAACGACAAACTTTATTCAAGGTGATTCGACTGACTTTATTTCAACCAAACATTTCCTTTTATACCCGTTCTCTCTGTTCTCTTTTCTTTTGAGCGCATCGGTCAAGAGAGAACAGGGAGAGAAAGAGACGGACAGAGAGAAACACGAAGAAGAGAAAAGAATCATTAGATGATTAGATGAACTGAT